CTTCCCACGCGGTCGGCCTAGATAGGGTAGAGGCTGGTAGTGGGTGTTGACCCATTGGCATGGATGACCTTATGGTTCCCCCAAAGGATGTGTCTGGTCAAAGCCATTCCTTGGGTGAGCTCACCTTGAACCACGAGCATTTGGCTTCCTGGGTGGAAGATTTGGCTGTGGCTGGTGGCGAGGGAGGGTACTGGCCCCCCTATATAGGTGAACTTTGGGATGCTGATGCCGAGGGCAGTTCTGAGAGTGTGTCCGCCGTAGACCGCTGGGTCCAGATCTTTGAAGCAGTGGTCTGGGACGTGGCTGAAGGCGGACGCAGGCGCTGGCCCTCCAACTCTAGTGAACTCGTTGTTTTCATGGTGGATGTGGCCACTATGGGCCATTCCATGAGAGAGTCCACCAGCGATGCGAGGAGCCATCGCTTCCTTCTCAACAATTGAGAGTGCGCGACTGTCCCCTGCCTGGCGCGCCAACTGTCAATGTTTTGTAAATCAAACTAGTAAATTTATACGATTGCCACACTGCTCTAGAAGACGATGGTAGCATCCAAAAGACACGATGATTTATACTAGTTTAGGTTGGAGCCCTACATCCAGTCTCTAAGATGATCGAGTGCGTGTTCCTCGCTTGAATGCTCTGAAGTTCTTACAATGGGGGGGTGCAAGAATGGTGGAAGAGGTAGGAGAACTAGAGCTAGGAGACGAGCTGCCCGAAGGGAAGCTTCAGTAGCCCTTCTATGGTGTAAGAATGAGTGAATGAGAGTTCAGATCCCTAGAGATGGTGCTCTGGCTGCCCTTATATAGAGTTTGGGGCTAGGGCAGATACAGAGAAGAAGGTTCTCTTGACCGAGGGGTCATGAGCCTGAGGGAGGGGCCTAGCTAACTTGTCTTGCAAGCTACGTCTGGACATGATTGTCATCATGGTCTTGCGCCCACGTCGCGGTAAGGTGTGGCGTGGTGCTACTGTGTCGGGTGTGCCGGCACTATAGGCACGGTGGTGTGCGCCAGCCGTCCTGTGCAACGTGGTCTCTACTGTGGTCTTCGTCATTGCCTCCTGGTTTCCTGGGGGCATCGTATAGGAGTCAGTAGGCACCCTCAGGTTGCCGATCGCCTGGCCGTCTTATGGAATTGGTGGCCACAATCCTGATCTCCGTTGTCGTGGCTTCTGTCAGTTTGGATGGCCTCCAAGCCAAGGCCTCCGTCGTGGATCCCATCCCGTAGTGGGTAGAATCATACATGTGTCTTGTCGGGCCGTATCTTGATAGTGGGCATCGTACCTAGCCATCACTTTCGCGCGGTGTTGTCTTGTCCGGCTGTGTGGCATAGGAATGACGTCTGACCGGACCGAGGTGATTGCTGTCCCCTCAGTCCATGTGGGGTTAGTGCGGCGTGCTTACTCCTGTCAGGGCAGGCATGCTTGGCTAGGTCCGACCTCTCCTCGTTCCTCCTAGGGGTCGGGGCAGTGGAAAGGTTGTGAGTTTCTTATGCGTCGTGCGACTAAGTCTATTGAAGAGGTCGTGGACGACGTCGGCCTTAGTATCTGGCCTAGTTCATTTGGGTCGTTCGGACCTTCGCTAGCTGATGTATCGTGGGCTGCTCGGCCTGCTAATTAATCGATGCCTTGAGACATCCGGGGATTATAACCCCGACAGTATGCAACCAGTGAGATGATGGTAAATCCACAAATTGAAGGGAAAAAGGTATAAGGTCACCTTACCGGTTGATTTTTTTTTGTGAAGGGAAGGGGATTACATTAAAACTCAGCATAGTACATCTCCAAATTACATATGAAAAAAATCTGAAATAAAAAATACACAATATTCTATCTACATTCTTCCATCATCTTATTCCCCAATGGCATCCCTTGAACGCTGGAGCCAAAGTGCAGTCCTTATACCGAATCTGTTAGAAGATTTGGGCTGGCCTAAATAATAATTCCAAATAAATCCTAATGGTGGGGGACTTTAGTCCCACATTGCTACTATAGGAGGAGTGAGGTCAACTTAAATAGTTGAGTATTGTCTCAAACTAGTTGAAGCTATTGGGGAGAGGAAAAGGAAGAAACAGGCCGGGCGATGGGCGTGGGCGCACGACATGCATGTGAATGGTTCGGCGATTTCTCGCTTCGACCTTGCGGGTGCATGGAGAAAATTGCGCTGACCTATTTTGGCAAGCAATGATTCTCATATTAATGGTGATTGCTCTAATCGACTAACGACAGGTCAATCACCTTAATGCTGTGATTGTGCGGCTAATTAATTACCATAGTTGCGACGCATGTATATTTTGGGAGAAGACGTCGTACTCAGTACAGACAATTCATCTCCTCCTCCTACCACTGTGCTGTGTCGGCTCCTACTTTCCCATCCCGTCGCCGGCATGTTGCCTTTTCATTGTTAAACAAATAACCTATGATGTACTTTGTGCGCTGCACAGGTTTGTAAGTGAAAGAGATGGCTATATTTATAGGGAAACAAAGGTGAGAAGTAAATTCACTTTCCTATAAATCTGCTGGCCTAGTAAGAAGTTGTGCATAATTTGTGATGCTAGAAATTGACATGTCGGTTGATAATGAGAAGTAAATTAATTTTTCAACTAGAATCACTAACTTTTCCCCTAAAATCATTAACTAAGAACTAATACTACTGGCACAGAAAGAAGTTAGTAATTTTTGTGGCTTTATGAAGTAAAATGGCAATTGAAATTGAAGAAAATAATAATGACAAGTAAACGCACTTTCCTTCGAAAACTGCTAGAATAATAAAAAGTTTTACTTAATTTGTGATGCTAAGAACTAGAATCGCTGACACAGTGAGAAGTTTGTCATACTTTGTGGCTTTAGGGACTAAAATGCCGACTATAACTTTTGGGAAACAAAAATGACATGTAAATGCACTGTTCCTTGGAAAGTGCTAGCACAGTCAAAAGCTTTTCCATTATTTGTCATGCTAAGAACTAAAATATTTGACTTGAAATATAGGGAAATATCAAATAAAAAGTTTATCCACTTTACTGCAAAATCTGACGAGTACATGGCCAAGAGGTATCATCACGAAGGTCAAATCTGCCCCTGGACAGGGGTGGGCTGAGCCGACTGGCTAGAGGCGATGTATATTCGAGGGTCTCTTATTGACTTGATATATGCAAGTCATAGATAGATATGCAAGTTAACCGTTCAGTCGGATCTTGTTTTAGTAAACTATGAAACATATCTGGGTGTAAGTCAATCAAGGTAGAATCTCTCTATAACATGACCCCGATACTATATAAGACAAGGTAGGGATCATCTAATATAGATACCTCTAGCAACCCTGCCATTGTTATCATTTTTACATCCGACTAGTAATCGATGTATCACACATAATAAATAAGAGGGGTAGTACACACGACACATATTTATAATAGTTCAAGTATGGGGTACCCTATGTCCAATATTGATGAGGATCTTTATTGCTTATGTCCCATGCGTTAGGTGCTGGTTGCGAGTAGGGGTGTGTCTATGGATTGAGGATCTAATCAGATTTTTCGATCTGGGCCACTCTATTGAAAGTTTCAGTTTGATTTTGGTAATTGAGTGACAAACTTAGGTGGACTGATATGATTTATGTGAGATTCATAGGTGCTTAGTCCACATGTACACTGGTGTGAGAAAGACATAGAGCCATGGTGGTGAAATGGCTTTTTCATGATGGTAATGCTCGATTAGTGAGATAAAGGAGCTCATTGCACAATGAGACAAGACATGATGTCATGTATGTAATAATGAAAATGGACCCTATGGGCCATTAAATTTGATTTTGGTGTTTGATAAAACAACATGACCAATTGGACTGACAACGTATGCTAGTATGCAAGGTTTAGTTCAAATGGATGCAAGGTGGATGTATATATACTTAAGAAACGGGGTGATCCAAATGATAAAAACCTCGAGCAAGACATCAGAAGACATGTTGTAGACCCAAAACACATGCAAGAAGTCCAAGACACAAGATGGAGCCAAGCTGGACGTGAAGACATGAAGAAAACGTGTCAGGTGCATGCTTTCTAGATGCACCGGATTGATGTGGTGTGGACCCCCTAGAGGCACCGGACCAAGCGTCATCAGAGGCTTTGTGCAGTGTTTGGAAGACCCCCCACATAAAATTCACATCTTTGGATCACCTAGTGTGGCTTTTGACCATTGTTGACTGTTGGCACTGCAACCATAGTCAATTGGTCCCAGATCACCAAACGATCAGCTATCTCCATCATCCTTGTTGCATGTCTCTATCTTCATCGTTGGATGATTGGGTGACTTTGTTCACCTTTGGTTTCCAACTTGTGCTTCCTATTCATCGGCACCACATGATCCCATGACCTCTTTTCACTTCGGTGGACGATACAATGATATCATGCACAATGACTTCTCTATATCATGTGATCTCTGACTATTAGGTGTTTGTTTCTTATTGAATCATGATCTTCTTCATCCATATTGTTCCTTATCATCCACATGATCTACATAATCCTATCTAATATATATTTGCAAATTGGTGAAGTCAACTTGCACCATACTATCAAATGGGCACATTAACCATCACTAATAAAGAATACTAAGCCTAAAATTCAAGAACATGTGGTAAGTTCGAGGATGGAACTAGAGTGGATAAGTTTCCCCAAATAAAACCTTACCTGTTGTATTAGCCATTATTTGCATGGTCATTCTCATCTAGCAAATTAGAATGTTTAGAACAACAAAGCGAGTAGTTAACTCTAGTATATTAGTTATTTAAAAAAAAAACTTTGAGTGATTGAATGTAAAAAACTATTGATCATTTGGTCTCATAAAAATGTTTATGAAAGGCTTGCAAATTGAAGAAATACCCCTACATAGAATAGGGTCCTTTTATTCATACATTAATTACACTGACGCCAAACATTTTATCATCTTATTTGCTTCTACATGTAGTAGATATGGTCATGAGTGTCACATTAGAAGAATGGTGCACATTGTGGAATTCCCTAGCGTCGGTGATGAACAATCCTTTTTGGTGGTGGTTCTTCTTCATTGTTGTCATTGCAACTATCTTTGATACAAGCAGTACTAGAACCAACATTATCATTGCTAGTCACATCATCCTTTCCTCTATATTCAATACCGATTTCCACCATGGCTGGCATATCCATATCCTCTTTTATGCCTTCGAGCTACATAAAGTGGTAATTTCAAGTGTGTAAATTAGTAAAATATGACTTCCGAGCTAAAGTACAGTAATTGTCAAACTTATCACTTCTTTTGTACCTTAACAAGCTTAATATTTGTAATGCATAATAACTTACATTCCATCCAAGAGAGCAAAAGCGAAATGCTTCAAGCAGAGGATGACCACACATCTCAGAATTGTGTTATGATGATGAAGTTGCTTTACTAACGGAGACACCACAACTACAGTGCCGTGGCTGCTTGTTCAAGAATACAACCCTTGCACTACTGATTATGTAAGTTTGCACATCATTTATATCAAGAATGTCCTCAATCTCTGAAACCTGACAACGTCATGGTATGATGATCGTTATCTGAAAGATCCAATTATTGAAAACTTAAATGTTATCAACTAGAACATAGTACATGCCCGTATAATCAAATATGCATGGCTTGCTAGTGACTAGAACACACCAAACGTATAACACATTTCTTGTAAAGTTTTATGCCTATTTCTTGATTGCAAGTTGAAGAAAAAAGTAATAATAATGAAGACATCAGTATCATAAACTATTGAATTGCATGCCGTATCCCATATGTCAACTTTCAAACTTTCTATTAATGTTACGACTACAAATTTCATACCTGGATTGCACGATGAGTGGAATGGTCACATGCACGACAGTGATAGTAGAGAGATCTTGCTTGGTGGCGCCTCACACTGGGTGTAAAATAGGTTACACTCATTATGAATAGCAAGAAAACGGGTGGTACAAATGGTAAAGAATTGTGTTGCAAGCAATAACTCTAGCCATGAAGGCACTGCGTTTTCATTGTTATTAATCCAATAACCTTTGATGTGTTTTGTGTCGCTGCACAGGTTTGTAAGTGAAAGAGATGGCTATATTTATAGGGACAAAGGTGAGAAGTAAATTCACTTTTCCTATAAATCTGCTGGCGTAGTAAGAAGTTGTGCATAATTTGTGATGCTAGGAATTGACATGTCGGTTGAGAAGTAAATTAAATTTCCCACTATAATCACTAACTTTCCCCTAAAATCATTTGCTAAGAACTAAAACCGCTAGCACAATGAGAAGTTTGTAATAATTTGTGACTTTGTGAACTAAAACGACAATTAAAGTTATCGAAAGTAATAATGATAAGTAAATGCACTTTCCTTGGAAAACTGCTAGAATAATCAAAAGCTTTACTTAATTTTTGATGCTAAGAACTAAACCGCTAATACAGTGAGAAGTGTGTCATACTTTGTGGCTTTAGGTACTAAAATGCTGACAAGAACTTTTGGGAAACAATAATGACAAGTAAATGCACCTTTCCTTGAAAACCGCTAGCACAGTCACAAGCTTTTCCATAATTTTTCTTACTAAGAACTAAAATATTTCACTAGAAATATAGGGAAACAACAAATAAAAAGTTCATCCACTTTCCTGCAAAATCTGGTGAGTACATGGCCCAGAGGTATCATCACGAAGGTCAAAGCTGCCCCTGGACAGGGGTTGGTTGAGCCGACTGGCTAGAGGCGATGTATATTCGAGGGTCTATCATTTACTTAATATATGCAAGCCATAGATAGATATCCATGTTAACAGTTCAGTCATATCTTGTTGTTGTAAACTCAGAAACATATCTGTAAGCCAATCAAGATAGAATCTCTATAACACTACCCCTACACTATATAAGGCAAGGTAGGGAGCCACCAATAGATACTTCTATCAAGCAACCCTACCACTTGTCGTCATTTTTACATCCGACTAGTAATCGATGTATCACACTGCCCCTATACTATATAAGGCAAGGTTGGGAGCCTCTAATAGACACCTCTAGCAACCCTACCACTTGTCAATTTTATATCTGGCTAGTAATCAATGTATCACACATAGTAGATTAGACGGGTAGCACACATGACACATATTTATACTAGTTCAAGTATGGGTTACCCTATGTCAATATAGATGAGGATCTTTTTTGCTTGTGTCCCATGCGCTAGGAGCTGGTTGCGAGAAGGGGATCGCAACTATGTGTCTATGGATTGAGTATCTAGTTGGATTTTCTGATTAGGGGCACCCTACTGAAAGTCTTAGTTTGGTTTTGGTAATTTAATGACAAGCTTGGGTGGACTAATGTGATTTATGTGAGATACATAGGTGCTTAGTCCACATGTACACTAGTGTGAGAAACAACATGGAGCCATGGTGGTGAAATGGCTTTTGCATGATGGTAATGCTCAACTAATGAGATGAAGGAGCTCATTGCACAATGAGACATGACATGGTGTCATGTGTGTAAGGAAAATGGACCCTATGGGCCATTAAGTTTGATTTTGGTGTTTGATAAAACAACATGACCATTTGGACTAACAAGGCTTGCTAGTATACAAGGTGATATGTGGTGTTGGGGAACCTCCAGATGCCAAGGTCAAGACGCCTGACGAACGACATGTTAAAGATCACAATGGGGAGGGGGACATCGAGCGGCCAGGGCCGATTCACGAAGATGAGCTCCTCGATGCAGTTGATGACGAGGGGGTAGAACCAGCACACGAGTTCAGTGCAGTGCGTGGCTATGGAGCCGCTACTGAGGTCAATGCAACGGAAGGGCCCCGGGTGTGCCTCTATGACCTGAGACACCGCCGCAGTGACCACGCCGGAGTTGATGTCATGAGCTAGGCTCCGGCAATGGCCAGCGTACGGGGTGTGGAGGGCGTCGATGAGGATGAGCGGAATGGAGCGCTAGAGTGGGAGACAGTGTAACGCGAGCAAGGTAGTTCGTGCAACATCTTTGATATGAAGATGTGAGATGATGTCCCAGAGGATATTGTCGGGGAGCGCGCTGACTCGATCCTCGGTGATGCGCCCACTAGCTGGGATGAGAAGTCGCCAGAGAGGAAATCACCAGTGTAGACGAGTGGGCCCGGGAGCTAAGAGCTCAAGACGTCCCTCATGGTGGTGCTCATGGCATGGTCCATCTGGTGCGCATTTATCTCTTGCCTCTTCATCTGGAGAAGCATACCCTCCATGGTTGTATAGGGAAGGGACATGTAAGAGCGGTGACGGGTTTGTGGAATTTTCTTGGAGTGGTGGCGATGCTGAGGTGACGAACTGATGCACCAGTCCACCACTATTTGTTGCAAACTGAAAGAATGGTAAGGATATGTGTTCAATTAATTGACCACATTTCTTGCTAAGCACTCAACATCAAAATGATAAGAATCTGGCTTCTCCAAAAAGGTTCTAGTTCTGACTTATTTGCAAAAGCGGCCTCTAGGATGAAGTTGAAGCCCTTGTTCGGTAAAATGGCTCTTTTTTTAAAGAAGGAAGGAGTAAAAGAGGTCAAATATCCAAAGTACCTCTGTCTCGAGTTGCGCATCAGAGGAAACCTTGGTGGCATTTTGCCTGTAATTCTTATGAACTTGATCATTATTTCCATATTTATGAAAGTAGGCCCGGAAAAATGCCAAACAAAGTAACGTTTGTGCGGCTTGGGCTTCTAAATGTGAAATGACTTCAGCTTCTGCTCTTTTTGGCATCAGAAGCCATTTCATATACTACGATTGGTACAGCTTCTAATTAAGCCCATAGAAAAGTGGGTGCAAAAGTTGTGCCAGAAGCCAGGTTTTCCGTCACGGTACCTCTAGCTATGAATAGCGAGGACGTGGTGCCGTTACTCGTAACTGTAGCCAAAATTATATATTGTGACTACACGGATTTCAGCTGCTCATTTATACTCCATCTAATTTTTGAGTAACAAGAAAATGGGTTGTGCATATGGTAAAGAATTCTGTTGCAAGCAATAACTCTAGCCATGAAGGCACTGCCTCTCTTTTCATCGTTAAACCAATATCCTATGATGTACTTTGTTTCGCTGCACATGTTTGTAAGCGAAAGAAATGGCTATATTTATGGGGAAACAATGGTGAGAAGTACATTCATTTTACCTGTAAATATGCTGGCAGCGTAGTAAGAAGTTTTGCATAATTCTCCCCCTATTATCACTTTTCCCCTAAAATCATTTGCTAAGAACTGAAACCGCTGGAACAATGAGAAGTTTGTAATAATTTATGGCTTTATGAACAAAAATGATAATTAAAATTATAGAAAATAATAATGACAAGTAAATACACTTTCCTTGGAAATCCGCTAGAATAATCAAAAGCTTTACTATGATGCTAAGAATTAAAACCACTGATACAGTGAGAAGTGTGTCATACTTTGGGGCTTTAGGGACTAAATTGCCGACTAGTACAAACTTTTGGGAAACTATTAATAATGACAATTAAATGCACCTTTCGTTGAAAACCACTAGCATAGTAAAAGTTTTTCCATAATTTGTCATGCTAAGAACTAAAATATTTGACTAGAAATATAAGGAACAACAAATAAAAAGTTCATCCACTTTACTGCAAAATTTGGTGAGTACATTGCCCATAGGTATCATCACGAAGGTCAAAGCTGCCCCTGGATAGGGGTGGGCTAAGCCGACTAGCTAGAGGCGATGTAAATTCAAGGGTCTCTCATTTACTTGATATATTCAAGGCATAGATAGATATGCATATTAATCGTTCAGTCGGATCATGTTGTAGGAAACTAGGAAACATATATCAGTAAGCCAATCAAGATATGATCGCCCCTATACTATATAATACAAGGTTTGGAGCCTCTAATAGACACCTCTAGCAACCCTACCACTTGTCAATTTTATATCTGACTAGTAATCGATGTATCACACATAGTAGATTAGAGGGGTAGCACACACGACACATATTTATACTAGTTCTAGTATGGGGTACCCTACATCGAATATATATAGATGAGGATCTTTTTTGCTTGTGTACCATGCACTGGGGGCTGGTTTCGAGTAGGGATCGTAACTATGTATCTATGGATTGAGGATCTAGTCGGATTTTCTGATCAGGGGCACCCTACTAAAAGTCTTGGTTTAGTTTTGGTAATTTAGTGACAACCTTATGTGGACTAATGTGATTTATGTGAGATACACGGGTGGTTAGTCCACATGTACACTAGTGTGAGAAAGACATGGAGCAATGGTGGTGAAATGGCTTTGGCATGATGGTAATCCTCAACTAGTGAGATGATGGAGCTCATTGCACAATGATACATGACATGGTGTCATGTGTGCAAGGAAATGGGACCTTATGGGCCATTAAGTTTGA